TGAATATTGTTGAGCAAGTTCCCTTGTGGTCTCATTGAATATCTTTTGGGTATATGCCCAAGAGTAGTATAACTGGGTCTTGAGGTAGAGCCCAATTTTCTGAGAAACCAACATATTGATTTCCAAAATGGCTGTACAACTTTACATTCCCACTAGCAATGGAAGACTGTTCCTCTTACTCTATACCCTCTCCAACATTAGCTGTCCTCAGTACTTTTTATCTTAGCCATTCTGACAGGTACATCTCAGAGTTGTTAGATTTGTGTTTCCCTGATGATTAAGAATGTTGAACAAATCCTTAAATTCTTTCAGCCATTTGAGATTCTTCTGATGAGAACTCTGTTTAGCTCTCTGTATCCCATTTTTAATTATACTCTTTTGTGTTTTGATGTCTAGTTTCTTGAGTTCTTTGTGTATTTTGGAGGTCAGGCTTCTGTCAGATGTGGGGTTGATGAAGGTCTTTTCCCATGCTGTAGGCTCTTGTTTTTTCTTATTCATCATGTCCTTTGCCTTACAGATAGATGCTTTTCAGTTTCAGGAGGTCCCATTTATTGGTTGTTGTTCTCAGTGTCTGTGCTACTGGTGTTATGTTTAGGAAGTGATCTGTTTGCAAAACATCCAGTTATGCCAGAAACATTTGTTAAAGATGCTTTCCTTTTTCTATTGTACCTTTTTGGCTTTTTTTTTTTCTTCTTTTTATTCTAGTGGTCCATGTCTCTGTTTTATGCCCATACTGAGCTGTTTTTATTACTATAGCTCTATAGTAGAGTTTGAAGTCAGGGATGGTGATGCCTCTGGAAGTTCCTTTATTGTACAGGATTGTTTTAAGTATTCTGTGTTTTTTGTTTTAGCATATGAAATTGAGTAATGTTCTTTCAAGGTCTGTGAAGAATTGTGTTAGGATATTGATGGTGATTACTTTTGGTAAGATTACCATTTCTTATTATGTTAATCCTACCAATCCATGAGCATGGGGGATATCTTCTTATATCGTCTCCTTTTTTTCTTTAAAAACTTGAAGTTCTTGTCATATAAGTCTTCCCCTTGCTTGATTTGAGTTTACCCAAGATATGTTATATTGTTTGTAGCTATTTTGAAAGGTGTTGTTTCCCTGATTTCTTGCCTGGCTCTTTTATCATTTGTATATAAAAGGGATACTGGCGTGGTTTTTTTTTTTTTTTTTTTTTTTTTAAGTAAGTTTTGTATCCAGCCATTTTGCTAAAGGTATTTATCAATGGTAGGAGTTTCCTGGTAGAATTTTGGGGTTGCTTACGTATACTATCATGTCATCTGTAAATAGCAATACTTGGACTGCTTCCTTTCAATTTGTATACCCTTGGTCTCTTTTTGTTGTCTTACTGTTCTAGCTAGAAATTCTAGTACTATATTGAATAGATACAGAGAGAGTTGACAGCCTTGTCTGTTCCTGATTTTAGAAGAGTTGCTTTGAGTTTCTCTCCGTTTAATTTGTTGTTGCCTCTCTGACTTGCTGTTAATTGCTTTTATTATGTTTAAATATGTTCCTTGTATCCATGGCATTTCCAAGACCTTTATCATGAAGGGGTGTTGGATTTTGTCCAACATCTAATGAAATGATCAAGTATTTTTTTCTTTCAGTTTGTTTATATGGTGAATTACATTGACAGATTTCCATTTGTTGAACCAACCCTGCCTGAATCTCTGGGATGAAGCCTTCTTGGTCATGGTGTGTGATTTTTTTTTTTTTTTTTTTTTTTTTTTTTTATGGGTTCTTGGATTCAGTTTGCCAGTATTTTAGCATCAGTGTTCATGGGGGATATTGGTCTGTAGTTCTCTTTCTTTGTTGCATCTTTGTGTGGTTTGGGTATCAGGGAAACTATAGCCTATTGTGTGGGACAATTTGAGAAGTATTGTTGTTAGCTCTTCTTTGAAATGCTGATAGAATTCTGCACTGAAGCCATCTGCTCATGAGCTCTTTTTTTTTTTTTTTGGTGGAGGGGGGAGACTTTTAATGACTGCTTCTATTTCCTTAGGGATTACAAGTATATTTAAATTGTTATCTGGTCTTGATTTAATTTTGGTATGTGGTACCTTTCCAAAAACTTGTCCATTTCTTTTAAATTTTCCAATTTTGTAGAGTACAGGTTTTTGAAGTATGATCTGATGATTCTCTGCATTTCCTCAGTGTCTGTTGTTACGTCTCCCGTTTCATTTCTGATTTTGTTAATTTAGATATTCTCTCTCTGCCTTTTGGTTAGTTAGAATAAGAGTTTGTCTATCTTGTTGATTTTCTGGAAGATCCAACTCTTTGTTTCAGTGAGTCATTGTATTATTCTCTTTGTTCCTGTTTTATTGATTTTTGGCCCTCAATTTGATTATTTCCTGGAGTCTACTACTCCTCAGTGAGTTTGTTTCTTTTTGTCCTAGAGCTTTCAGGTGTTGTATTAATTTGTTAATGTGGGATTTTCCCAACTTCTTTATGTAGGCACTTAGTACTATGAACTTTCCTCTTAGCACTGCTTTCAAAGTATACTATGTTAGGATGTGTTGTACATTCGTTTTCATTGAACTATAATAAGTCTGTAATTTCCTTATGTCTTCCTTGATCCAGTGGTGATTCAGTTGAGCACTATTCAGTTTTGATGAGTTTGTAGGCTTTCTGGAATTTGTGTTGTTGAATTCTAACTTTAAGCCATGGTGATCCAATAAGATACAGGATTTATTCCATTTTTTTTTTTTTTTTTTTTTTTTTTTTTGCATGTGTTGAGGTATGCTTTGTGTCTAAGTATGATGTCAATTTAGAGAAGGTTCCATGAGGTGCTGAAAAGAAGGTATATTCTTTTGTGTTTGGGTAGAATGTTCTGTAAATGTCAGTTAAGCCCATTTGGGTTATAACATCTGTTATTTCCTTATTTCTCTGTTAATTTTCTGTTTGGCAGTCCTGTCCATTGGTGAGAGAGTGGGGTGTTGAAGTCTCCAACTATTAGTGTGCGGGAGTTCTATGTGAAATTTAAGCTTTATAATGTTTCTTTTACAAATGTTGGTGCTCTTGTATTTGGGGCATAAATGTTTTGGAATAAGACTTCACCTTGATGGGTTTTTCCTATGACGAATATGAAATACCCATCTTCATCCCTTTTGATTACTTTTAGTTTGTAGACTATATTTTTAGATTTTGGGATAGCTACACCAGCTTGATTCTTAGATACATTTGATTGGAAAGTTTTTTCCCAACCCTTTAGTTTGAGGAAATGTCTGTCTTTCAGGCTGAGGTGCATTTCTTGTATGCAGTAGAAGGATGGATCCTGTTTTCATATCCATACTGTTAGCCTGTATCTTTTTGTAGAATTAAGTCCATTGATATTGAGGGATATTAATTACCAGTAATTATTAATTACTGTTATTTTTGGTGTGTGTGTGTGTGTGTGTGTGTGTGTGTGTCTTCTTTAGGATTTGGTAGTGTGGGATTGTCTATTGCCTGTGCTTTCGTGGGTACAGCGAACTTCCTTGGATTGGAGTTTCCCTCTAGTGCTTTCTGTAGGACTGGATTTGTGGACAGGTATTGTTTAAGTTTGGTTTTATCATGGAATAATCTTCTTTTCTCCATCAATGGTAATTGAAAGTTTTTCTGGGTACAGAAATGTTGGTTGGCATCCGTGGTCTCTTAGTGTCTGCATAATACTCCAGCACCTTCTTAGTTTCAGGGTCTCCATTGAGAAGTCAGGGTTATTCTGATGGGTTTGCATTTATATGTTACTTGGCCTTTTTTTCTTTGCAACTCTTAATAATCTTTGTTTATTCTGTATATTTTGTGTTTTGATTATTATGTGGCAAGGGGACTTTTTTGGGTGGGTACAGTCTATTTGGTGTTCCTTAAGCTTCTTGTATTTTCATAAGCATTTTCTTCTTTAGGTTGGGAATGTTTTCTTCTATGATTATGTTGAATATATTTTTTTGTGTCTTTGAGCTGGTATTGTTCTCATTGTTCTATCCCTCTTATTCTTTAGTTAGTTAGTTTATTTTTGTGTTTTTTTTTTCTTCATGGTATCCCAGATTTCTTGGACATTTTGTGTTATGGCTTATCCATTTTCTCTATCATATCTTCAATGCCTGAGATTCCCTCTTCTCTCTCTTGTATTCTGTTGTTTATGCTTGCATCTGTATTTCCTGTTTGTTTACCCAGATTTTCCATGTCCAGAATTCCCTTTATTGCCTCTATTTCAATTTTTCAAGTCTTAAACTGTTTCCCTCACCTATCTGATTGCTTTTTCTTAGCTTTCTTTAAGAGATTTATTGGTTTCTTCCAAATTTTTGTCTTTTTCTCAATTTCTTTAAGGGAATTTTTCATTTCCTCTTTAATGGTCTCTGTCATCTTCATAAAGTTACTTTTAAGGTTTTTTTTTTTTTTTTTTTTTTTTTTTCTGCTTTGGGATGTTCAGGTTTTCTGTTGTAGGATCACTAGGTTCTTGTGGTGCCATATTGCTCTTTAGGTTGTTTAATGTATTTCCGTATTGGTGTCTACCCATCTCTTTCTCCAATTGGTGTAGTCAGTGTCTTTGCCTTGGTCTGTTCATTGCAGTTAATGTCTGTGTCTCAGGGAGACCTCTCTTGGTCCACTCTGCAGCCACCGTATCTCAGGGGGCTGCTGCAGTCTGAATAATTTTCTTCTTAAAGAAGATGTTCATGCAAATCTTCACATCCTACCAGCCAAATAGGCTCTAATGAATATTAGACTATTTAGAAAGTACATGAAAACCTTTTGAGCTCTTGGATCACATGGTCGTAAGTTCATTTCCTAATACCAAGCCTCAACTTTAAGCCTAAAGCTGTAAGGATCTGCTTTACTCACATGACTCATAGGATAAGCATTTTGAGTTTAGGTCACAAAAGAAAAAGAAAGGACCCACGGACATAAACTCTTCTCAAAATATAATAGCACACTGATGTTCCAAGGCACAAGTTTCTGAAAGACAGATAGCTAATGAGGTTCTAACTCTGCTGTGTCTTGTTCTTCATTTAAGGCACAACTCAATCCGAAGACAACTCAACCTGTCAAATCCGGACTTTAATATCCACCAGCTTCAGAGGCAGGAGCAATTGACTGGAATTGGTAAAATTAAACCAGAATTATATAAGCAGAGGTCACTGGACAATGACGATGGGAGGAGGAGTAATAGCAAAGCCTGTGGGAAACTGAACTTCATTTTAAAATATGACTGCGACTTGGAACAGCTCATCGTGAAGATCCACAAAGCTGTCAATTTGCCCGCCAAGGACTTCTCTGGGACGTCAGATCCTTATGTGAAGATCTACTTGCTTCCCGACCGGAAAACAAAACACCAGACTAAAGTTCACAGGAAGACCCTGAACCCTGTATTTGATGAGGTGTTTTTATTTCCTGTTCCCTACAATGACCTTGAAGCTCGGAAGCTTCACTTTTCTGTGTATGACTTTGACAGGTTCTCTCGCCATGACTTGATTGGTCAAGTGGTGGTGGACCACTTCTTCGACTTGGCTGATTTCCCCAGGGAGTGCATCCTCTGGAAGGATATCGAGTATGTCACCAATGTGAGTCTAGCATTCCTTCATTTGGGGTGGAGTGGCATCTTGTTTTTCACAGAAAGTCTGTTTACACATTATGTTATTTGGGAGGAAACTATAAAAGTCACATTAATTCTCTCTGTTCTTTAGAAGTTCTTTGTATGTCTGGAGGGATAGGCTTGTAACAACATTGATTTTGATATATACAAGAATCATTTAGAGAAACTATGAAGGAACCACTTCTCCTATTTCTCAGTTTTTCTCTATCAGTCCTCACAACATTTTCTTAAGGACTATCTCAGGTTGTACTAAGTGGGTCCTGGCCTCCCATTCACTAGGTTCTACAAATGAAAGTCCATCACCCGATTGACAGCACCAAGCCCCTGCCTGGGTTCTTCTATTGGCTCAACAGTGCATCCAAGATCAGATCCTCAGTTTTAACCCTGAGCCTAGGAGTGGATGAGAAAACTTAGCATTTTAATTTCAAACATAAAACTCATTAAATTAAATTATAAAGTAGTCAGTCTGAAAAGATGGAAAACTGATCCACAGAAGGTCAAGTCTCATGTCAGACCTAGGAGAGAAGGCAGAAAGTTTGTGTAGACATGTTTACATTTCAAACATGGGATACCATGGGATGTCTTTACTCCATTTTCATCCTTGTCATTCCTGCTGAGCAGTACTGAAGCTCCAGGCTGAGCAAAATTGGACTTTCTTGGGGAACTGATGCTTACAAAATGCCTGATCAGATTCCCAGAGGCAACTCTTAGAGCATTTTGTATAGGCGAGTGTTGCCCTTTTCATCATGACATCCAAAAGGACCAAGTCACTATCTGGCTCAGGCACTGACTCCACTTTAGATTGAGCCTTGAGTGAGTCAAAGACTCACAATGCTAAAGAAGAGGACCCCCAAATCTTTAACATAGGACCAAGTACCCCCATGGTGTCCTTAAACCCTTTGACGTATTTATGACCTGGGGACTTCCTCACATTTTAGTAGTTCTCTTCACATGCCCTATAGTTCCTGTGCCAGCCTTAATGTGCTATCTAGGAAAGGAAAGTGTAGCCAGCCAAGGTCATGGTGGCCTCCATCTTCATGTCTGGAAGAAAAAGAAGGTAAAGAGAATAGCTCTTAATAAAGCTAGAATGATTTGGGATAGTGTGGAAGGAAAAGACCTCTTCATCTTGAAAAGTTGTAACATTTATAAACTCAAAAATGGATGCTGGGGAGAGCAAGGATTATCTTCAAATCCCAGCTGCCCAAATTAGGAGGTGACTGGAGAGGCTTAAAAAAAAATGAAATAGAAGGATGTTTATAAGTAAGATTTGGTGTCACCAAAGTAACACACTTTGGGGCATTTAACAAATCTGTATGGGTATAGAAGCCAGCCATGATGATGGGACCTGATGAGGTCTAACCTCAGGCTTGGGTATGGAGGCATTGTTCATACCATCCAGACAGACTCCTTGTGATGCTCTGACTAGTAGAGCCATAAAATAGCTAGAGAAGTCCTAGGAAGCTCAGTGGGGATCCTGGAAGTTGCCATCAAAGGGTTTTGTAGAGAAAGCAACAGTGTGTGCATAGAAGCTAGGCTGTCCACAGTCCAGGTGAGGCAGGACCCTAGTGGAAAGGTCTCCTCAAAAAGTTTCTGTGGGACAGGAATAGTGTCAGGCTACGGAGGCCTTCTAGCCATGAGATCAACACCATTGCAGTCCTCTTCCAGAACTAAGAATTTCTAGATCATTGTTGGAAAATTCTGGATTGCAAAAGAGTTAAGAAGAATGTGTGATTCATCATGAAGCATTTACCCAGGCTTTTGGATGATGTTGGAAGAGAGGAGATGCTAAGAGTGGAATTACGGACTGTTTCATAACTTTTATGTGACTGTGTCCAGAAAATGAGAACAGAGATTTGAGATTCATTAAGGCTTTGCTTTTATAATGCAGTAGTATGAAGTACCTTGTGCATAATATATATCATCAGAACAATGAAAGAATAGTTAAATGAACATGCATGAGACCACCAGCTGAAGAAGAGAACACACTCATAATTTTACATAATTTTATCCTTGGTGTTCTGTCCCTATAGTCCCTTCCACTACCCCGAGTTTTGCTTAATTTGTGGTGTGTGTGTGTGTGTGTGTGTGTGTGTGTGTGCGTGCGTGCGTGCGTGCGTGCGTGCGTGTGTGTTGAAGTTTTGTTCCTGCTTTCCATAGTTCTTCTCTGACTTACCTTTTTTACATTCAACAATAATTATAACATTTAACAATAGAGATGAACACAGTGGATGTGGTTTGTGTATTTTCATTGTATACAATGACATATGTTCTAACATATGACAAGTAAGCATTCTTTCTGGAAAGATTTTACCCATTGACTTTTATTTTATGGTTAAGTATGTTTTGGTTACATGAATGTCTGTGCCTGGTATCTGTGAAGGTCAGCAGAGGGTATCAGAGTTAAAGGTACAGGCAAATGAGAGTCACCTTCTGGGTCCTGGGAACTGAACCTGGGGCCCTGCAAGAGCAGCAAGTGTTCTTAACTATGAAGACATTGTTCCAGCCCCTGAGCATTCTTAAAGTGATGGCATTCATGTTATTCATTGTTTATGATTCAGAATAGTGTAATAGATAATGATTTTATGTTTGTCTTATTGGTTCACAGGTACCACAATTTTGTAGAGTGTATTTCCTATTAAAGTTAAGATATAGGTTTTCAACATTCCCAAGTAGTTACAAGGTCATTTCCAAAGTGGCTGTTCCAATAGATCCCCCTGCTGGTGAGATGTCACCATTCCCAGTGTTCTTTCTCAAGACCTCTTGCTGTCCTCAATGCTGGTTAGGGTATATGCATGTCCAAATGAAATGCCATGTGACTGCTTCTTTCTTGGCTGCCAAGGTTGACTATCTTTTTGTGTGTTTATTTGTCATACCGCCTTCCTTACTTGTGAAATGCTTGTTCTGCACACTCTTGTGCTATTTCTCTTCCCTAATGATCTAAGTTCTTTTTATAGTCTGTATGCAAGCCTGTGTTAGTTACATGCACTATAGGCATCTATCAGTTTATGGTAGTATATTGTGATAATTTATTATTTATTATAATTTTTATTTGTGCATGGCAGGGTGAGTGGGTACATATGTGTGCCAATTGTGGATGACTCTGTGAAGCTGGTTCTAGCTTTGCACCTCATTAGGTAGGTAGGTAAGGGAAAGCCTTAATGAATCTCTTTTGGTTTTGCTCCTTGGCTTCATACTCTAGGCTAGGCTGCCTTTGAGCCTGCCTCCCATCTCACTGTAGGAGTGTTGAGACTACATTCATGCCACCATTCTACTTTTTACATGAGTTCTAGGGGTTGAACTTGGGTCTCCAAGCTTGTTCAACCCCTCCCTTTACCCACTAAACTATCTGTCTGGACTCTATGGTAATTTTTAATATAAATTTTATGCCAATTGTCATAAAATGTATCAGTGTTTCCCACTATAAAGTAGCATTGCTATGTCTTGGTTAAGAAATCTCAGCATGTTGTGAATGTATTTCTCCTTTATTTTTATTGCAAGTTTTTGAGTTTGTGGGATCTGTTTGGTTGTGTGTCGGAGACATATTTTCATGATATAGCCATGGCTGACCTTAAACTCATTATAGAGAGTAGTAGATCAAGTTGTCTTCAACCTTATAAAGATTCTCCTGCCTCTACTTCCTGAGAGCTAAGATTACCATGCATGGACAAAATTTTGAAGTTTTGACATTTTCATTTTTTGAAATTAAAATGTAATGACTTCATTTTCTCCTTTCTCCTCTCTATCTCTTCCATATACACACCCCACATCTCTCTCAAATATATGGCCTCTGGCCTACTTTTTAAATTGGTGTTATACATATATGTGCATCAAATATAATTTCTGTCTTCCCAGAATAGATTTTTCTAATCATATAACAGAGGCATCTTGAATTGGTCTGCTCTGGCTGCCATAACAAGATCCCATGGGCTGAGCAATTAAGCGAACATTGATTTCTCACAATTCTGGAGCCAGAGAAGTCTAAACTCAAGGCATAGACAAGGCTCACAGCTGATGGAGCTCTCTCCCATCTTGCCTTCCCAGCATCCTCACATGCTGAAGAGAGCCTGTGCTCTAACCTTATAAGAAGAACACTAACTAACTAGTTCTTTCATAGTACCCACACTCATGATTTCTTCTAAAGGATCCACCCCAAACTGCTATGATGCTGAAGGATTCAACTCCAGTTCATTTATGGTGCACCCTACCTTTGTTTTGCTAGATAGATAAGGAATTTTCTGAAGTGTTTCCCCAGTGATGTGCAGTATAGTGCATACTCTCTCATATGTGGATTTCCATATAAGAGGAATCTCCTTCTGGATTCCTTTTCCTATCCATTATTCTGCTTGACTGTATTCCAGAATACACTTTACCATCCAAAAAAGCAAAAACTTCTCTTAGTTCAGTTTTCTCTAATGCTCGATTTTTCACATAATTTTTGAGTTGCATTGTCAAACAAAAACTCTTTCTTTTAAAATCTTAAACTATCAATATATTACAAGAACCAGATCACGGGAAAATAGTTTTTTTTAAGAAGTCAGAATTTTCTTCCTTTCATTTTCAGTTTGTCTTAATCATATGCTGATACAATTCTGTAGTCTTCCAAGGGACTCTGAATCCTCACATTAAACTGCAAATATTTTAAAATTACATATATAACATTACATGTTATGTCCTAGAGGAATTGGGTAAAGCATTTGCCTAGCCTGTGCTATGATTTTTTTCTTGTCTGATTTTTTGGAATGTATGAAGTCTACGGGGCAGTGTAAGATAAGTTTACATCTCTGTATTTACAGTGTTCTTTCTATTTATAAACGCTATTTGAAGCCTTGCTTTCAGGCTTTGTGGTTTTCCTACATGAAGTACTTGCCAGACTCTTGTTGGATTTGTTGTTAGCTGCTCGTTTTTTGTTACCTTAATTGATAATTTCTAAAGTAGCATTTTGTGTGTTTCTCTTGTGAAACTCTTAAT